AAATATATATTGTGTGTTGGAGTGGTCCAGACGCTACAAGTAATACACTTTAAATGAAAATCACAACAAAAAACTAAAGGTAACTAAATTAACAATACAAGATTTCACAATATTAACAAAAGCAAAAAAATATATAATCCAACTCAAAAACTAAATATAACTTATACACAGAAAATAGATTAATTTGAAAAAGAAAATAGAAAAATCAAACAAAACTGAAACACAAAATACAGACTCACTTTCAGGCACAAAACCTGTACACAACTAAGACAAAGTCCATTGGCATAGGTCCAACAACACGACCGGGACTCAACGCACACACAGACTCAATGCCGTTCGACCTGGAACGAGACAGCGGTGACGCCACTGCGAGGATATTATCCACCCAAATGATTTCTGCGGGAAAAGAATGAAGCTGAATGATTAAATACACAGCTATATACACACAACAGTCGACACCCGTACACACAACATTAACTGACAAATTGCGATTCGCACCTCTTCCCTGACTGAGAAGCATATAAAACAAACCCATACCTGGAGGAGGACCGATGCGATCACATTCATCAGCCGAACAGCACAGCCGCGGCAAAACGCCAAACAAGGCTGTACATGCAGCCGCTCTCCTACCAACAAGAGCACAGACCAGATACTAATGCAAATCAACCAAAACACCAAACCCAGAATAAAACAATCCGTGAAATACACCAAAGGTTGCCTTAACCCACCTTTACTGACCCACGGTCACGTTCAGCAGAAACTGCGGAAGCCCAACCCCATCCGGGAAATGATGCCTGCCCAGATACATAAGCCAATGGCTTTTATAGACTGTACCAATCAATGACGGAAAAATGCCCGCCCTAAAAATTCAATTCAGGAAATCACGCCCATCTTACCTATTATGCCACACATAGTTCAAGTCATGGTTTATAGAGGGCAAAGAATTTGATACTAAGTAATCAGTCTCTGTAGTTTGTCATCAGTGTACATAAAGGTAAACTATTTTGACATGGTAAAATTATTCTTAATAATAAAATTAATGAAGTTTTAAGTTAGAATATGTGCCTTTTATTTAAGAAATCAGTTGTATTCTGAAAGCCATGGTAGCATGTTTGCTATATATTGCTGTCATAATGTAGCAGCCAGCTGTGATGTCAAGATTGACTTTGTTAGGAGCTTACAACTTAATATGAAGTAACTTAATATCAATAAATATTCTAAAATAGCACTAGTTAATGTTTATGCAGTACTTGTGCCATAAAATTTGATTTGTAAGTAAATTAGCCTGAGTAATTGACATTAAAATGTTGACTTCTGTTCAACACTCAAGATTAAGTTGTTTTTCAAAATAGCAGAGAAATTAAGGAGACTATATACCGCTACCTGAGACTGTGGAAGAGCTGGAGATTCAGGGTTACAAGTTTTCCATGGCAGCATAACAGACCTTGTGTTGTACTTACTATTTGGCTTGAAAACAAAATCAAAAGTGAGAATTTTTAAAAAAAAAACATCATGCAGTATATGAGAAGGTTTGATTGGCAACAATGTGATTCTGTGCTTGAGGTGGTGATCTTTACCAGTGGAGTAGTACATGCATATGGACTGCGTGTGGAATGCCAGCTTTTGCATTTATTGAACACAGACGACTTTACATTTCAAGCTTGGCAACTCGCGGGTAGATGAAATCTCATTGTTGGGATGGTATTCTAAAAATATGAGATGATCTGTTCGCTATTAAGGAGGTCTTTGTGGATGGCAGTTGGTCATACATTCCTTTGCACAATTACACATTGCCCCCCTGTTCTAGGAACAGAGGTAGCATTATAACTGTAGCACACGATTGCATTTGGGGTTTCAAACTGACAAAATAAAAATGAAATGCTAACTCAAAACATACATGGGGAGCTCTCTTCTTGTTCTGGGAGAAAGTAAATAAAATATCCCTTTGTCAAAATGGCAAGTTGTTTGCAATGCAAATAAACAAACTCTTTGTTCATAGTTGAACATATTTTTGCCTCAGGGTGCAGTTATTATCCTGTGTCTGGCCTGTATTGAAGTATGGATAGATTTGCACGTCTAGATGTAGACGTAATTTTACTAAACCTTGACAAACAATTCTAGGATGGTTCTGAAATATGACTTTGATCACTGTCAAATTTTAGTAGCAACTTTGACATTGATGCTGTTTGCATATCTAACACTTGATTGCATTGCAACAGAAATAATCAATCTGGTTCTGGAGGAATCGGGTATGGAGGAAACAGTTCATGCTTTATTGCTCTCAGCCTTGGATTCTTTTTTGCATGTAATTTTGTAAAGAGTCAATCCACTGAAGGCGAGCGTAAGTGAGAACCCAAGTGCAGTTTATTTACAGAGTGATCCAAACAATAATCCAAGACACAGACTTGACTTGACTTGAACAGACATAGCATGAGCAGACTTGACACAAACAGACTAGACTCACCAACAGCGGGTTAAATACATTAAATACACGACGAGGGCACAATGGGAACATGAAGCTACTTATAGGAAACAAGAGGGTCACATGACAAGAACAAACCTATGGGAAACAAGACACATGACTAGGACAACCAATGACAGACAAGGGAATCACATGACTGGAGAATAACCAAATGAGAGCATGACACATACACCAGGCAGAGAGACATGAGGCAAGGGAAGCATGACACAAACAGGGACCATGAATAAACTCCAAAATAAAAGACATGAAAACATGAACATGAAACAAAACCCAAACCCCACATTACACATTTTTGATTGTCAGTTTGCATTTTTTGATTGCAAGGCTTTTCCAAAGCAGGGAAAAACATGTTTAAAATTATACTTCTTCAATTAAATCTGTAAGTGGCATATCCGCACAGATACCGTCCATTGATTGATTGATTGATTGATTGGTAGATTGATTGATTGATTGATTGCCTGATTTGCAGTTGCAGGCAAGGACTGCAGGGAAATATCCCCATTAATATCAATACGTGGCCACACAATATTTTAACAACTGATCATGATGATGCAATCAGTGCAGTTCTGTGTATTGATTTATTCTAAACTAGACCAGAGCCACCAGTTTCTACTTTCCTCACATTTCCTCCTCCTTCCAGACAATGTCATTTGCAACACATGCATTGTTCCAAATATCTGTCATAAAAATTGGAAATCATTGACTTCCCTCACATGGTATAGACTATGGTTTAGAAGTTTCTATTGTTATTTTACAGGGTTGTGGCACAGTTGTCAACTATTTACAAGTATTTGCTAATTACCATCAACCCATCACTATTTAAACTCATAGAGACCAAGAACACAAAAGCCACGGCTGGGCTTAGCCAACAGATTACCACTCTTAGAAGTACATGCAGTGAAGATATAATCAACTCACTTGTATTCGAGCTGAAGTTGAGCTTTGACTTTATGGAGGCTGTGCATGATTTATCACTCTGTGATCCAAGAACTAACATTCCATACCTGCTTTTAAACATGAATTCCAGTCTCATGCCAGCCAAATACATCATTACTGCACACTCTGAATATATTATCTGCACTTTACTACTGTGAATTCCTAAGTAAGTCCTGCATGTCCTTAATTTTATCTTCTCTCTGAATTACAGCCACCCAGACGCTGGTTCCCTCGAGGATTCTGACTGTTGTGGCAGCACTAATTTAACCACTGACTTCCTAAATGATACTGTCTCTCTTTCTTTATCCAGATTTTTCCACATTCTCATTTGAGCACATATCTTTTCACCATGTTGTTCATCATGTTTCTTTTTTCCCCCTGGAGAACCCCTGAGCCGAACAAAGATAATCTCGCTGCATTCCTCCATTTCCTCCTGGTGGGAGGTAGCACTCTGATTCCAGTGATGAGCACAGTTTGACTTGCGGCACTGGCCCATCTGGGTTCAATATGCCCCTTGTCACTATGTCATCTATTCCTAAACAATTCCTTTGATTTTGGATAATCACAGACTGGAGTGTAATTTCTTATTTTTATCTTAAAGGCAAATGTTTCTGCTGTAGTTAAACTACCTGTGTTTGAAACTGAGCAACTTTATTTCAAGATTTGAAATCCAATCACCTGTCTTGAATGTGTGTGTAGAATAGAATTATCTAAAGTGCCCATATTATGCCATTTTGGTTATTTCCTTTCATGCAGTGTGTAATGTAGCTGTATGTGAATGTAAACGATCTGCAAAGTTGTAAAGCCGGAAATGCATGATAAATGTAGTTATTGTCTCCCAAAAGAAAAAAAATTGGCTCAGGACAGCCTAAATGAGTCATTTGTAATTCAAATCCCACTTCCGTGATGGCTACACGTCATGGGGTAACATATTTGCATAATACCCACCTATGTTCTATGTTGGCCTGGCCTGTAGTTTGTTTGTGTGGTTAACATCATGTTGAGAAGACACTGTGTCCTACGCTGTGAAAGTAATTTTTTTTATTTTCACTTCCGAAAGATGAGGCTGCAAAGAATCAGTGATTATAATTAATTTTTTTCCACTGTACCACAGCAGTACAACCCCAATATATTTTGTGTTCCCGTCATTTTACTGATGACTGCTTCTCTAACCTTGGGGAGTTCAATGCAGGATTCACAAAACGCTTGCTCTTGAAAAATGAATCACCACTGAATCACAACCTGTAAGCATGATAAATAATAGATGTTGAAATTTTCTATCTAGCGTTCAAAATACAGAACTATGGCAATGGGCGGATCATTTCCAGCACACGCTATATGCGGTAGACCAATCACAACAGACTGGGCAATCTGACCAATCAGAGCAGAGTAGGCTCACAGAAAGGAGGGGTTTAGAGAGACTGAATCTTAGAACTGCTTCAAATGAATCGTTTGAGAATTGTTGGAAAATGAGGTGATATTAAATGCATATTTTGAGAAAACGAAAGCGTTTTTTGACCTTGCATGCATGTAAACATATTGTAGGAGACTCCCAAAACAATATTAGGAACCTTAAAAATGGCATAATAGGGGCACTTTAAATGAATATAATTAATCAAGTAACATCTGATTGATTATATTACATGTGTAATCAGTCCAATGGAAGGGTGAGACATCATAGGCGAGTGACGTAGCGACCAGGAAGCTATAAAAGCACATGAGATGAAACCGGCGTTAGCTTCTAGGAATGAAGCAAGCGCTCGCAGGGATGCCGGAAGTATGGCCCTTGGTTACATACGTAACCTGGAGACGTTCCCCTTCAGGAACTCGAGCTGTGTCGGAGAACGCTTTGGGAACGAGTATGCCCACGCCACCAGACTTGCAAATCCCTGCCTAGTGTGGAAGAGCACAGCTAGGACGAGAGAACAGAAGAGCCAGGAGTAGCGTTAGAACCTGATGAATGTGAGGGGTGTGGACCAACCGCAATGGCCGCCACGTAGACCTTCAGGGTGGAGTGGGTCAACCCTGCAAAGAGATGGCCTGCAGGAACTCCAGCACTGTACCAACCGGGCAGTTAACTGGGTCGAGCTGGCAATCTCCGCACCAAGAAGTGAAAAGTTTCCACTTGAAGGCGTACAGTTTCCTCGTAGAAGGAGCTCTGGATTGGAGGATGGTCTCAACAACCTCGGTTGAGAGACCGGAAGCTATGAGTTGTGCCGCCTCAGAGGTCACACCCATAACTTCCACAGCTCCGGGCAGGGGTGGAATATCGTGCCCTCCGCCTGTGAGAGGAGGTCCCTCCTGACGGGAATCTCCCATGGAGAGCCGTCAAGAAGGGAAATCAGGTCCGAGATCCATACTTGGCCCAGCCAGAATGGGGCTAATAGCAGTAGACGGACCCCGTCCCGGCGCACTGTCTCCAGAACTCCTGGGAGCAAAGCGATCGAGGAAAAAGCGTACAGACAAAGCCTCTGCCAAGTCTGTACCAT